AGAAAATCCTTTAGACATTTTAATATTGAGTTAGTCTCCTTTAAAACAGAGAATAGATTGCCTTTGAAAGTATCTGGCTTTTCTGGGACCAATGTGACTTTGGCTGCTTTGGATAAGATGAGCCAGAGGTCAGACATCATTCAGGTTCTATCAAAGCTTGGAGAACATGAGATTATGTGATCTCATCTAAGAAATGAAGAAAAGGCACTTTTGCACTCATGAAAATTGAATTGGTTTAGGTGGGGGAGCACATTGACTCACCGCAGTTCCCATCAGCTATTTGACTGTTTAGACTTGTATTTGAAATTCTGTCTCCTGTTTTTAAAATTTTCCTTAATTATATCTTTTGCATGCTCTTTATCTTAATCTTGGGTTAGATCATTTTTTTTTTTCCTGCCCACTTAATTTTCCAGCCTCCCACGAAGCTAACAAAATATAGAGAACACGTTTCAGTTCTTGGAATCACTTTGTTATATATCCAGCAACAATCCTAAGAACTTTTTCTGGGATTTAGACTCTCAACCTTGTGGTTTTTCAATTTAATTTCAGCTGTCGTTGGTGTATGGTAGTAATTTCTAAGTAACTTTCTAGCCCCCATTTTGTTCACATCATTTTCCTTGCTCTCATCATTTTGGGTTTTAGAATAAATATAGAGTAAGAAAAACAAATAGAGAAAACATCCTGTTATATAATAAAGAACAGGATAATTTTGGAAATGCTGTTGGTGCCTTGTAAATAAATTATATCTTATTCTCTGTCCTTGGAATTAAAGTATGCAACATGATTGATAGACTTTGGGAAAACACAAGAGATTATTGAACATGAAGAATTGTATTCATTGCTTAACCTGTTTGATTAAAAGTGAGCATTATTACCGGGGGTGAGGCTACAGTGTAATACTACTTTTGAAGTGTTGCAGTTTCTTTAAACATATTATTTTCACAGAGCTTCAAATTTGAAGTTTCCAGAACTGGAAATTTGAAATGTTTAACACAGCTAGCTTTTGATCTTTTGTTTCCACTTCAAGAAATACTTGCATTCTACAGAGATACTTGCATGCCCATATAAAGATGTAGACAGATATGTGTATGTGTGTATTGGTGGGGAAAGAAAGGGTGGTCACTGCAACTGTGTATAATAGCAACAAAAGGCACAACCTAAATGCCCACCAATAAGGTAGAACCAGCCATTAAAAACAAAGAGGTGTGTTGGGCGCCTGCGCGTCTCAGTTGGTTGAGCATCTGACTCTTGATTTCAGCTCAGGTCATGATCTCATGGTTCATGAAATCAAGCCCCGGGTTATGCTCTGTGCTGACAGCATGGTGGAAATACATCCATGTATTTCTGAGCCCACCTGAGAATCACTACCCATGAGAAAGATACTACTCATAGGAATGTGTTGTGCATTTAAATAATGTGCAGGAAAATGAGATTATGAAACAATCACAGGCCTTCCTGATCCCAAGGTATCCTGAGTCCCAACATTGAGTTGAAGCTTCTCCCCACCTCCGAAGTCAAAAGTCTCTGAAATAATCAAACCACCACAAAAACAGACTGGATTCTGATGAAGTAGCAGGAATTAAGCCAAGAGAACGAGGGGAAAATAAGAAAAAGGACAATTCCACAAAACCTGAGACTGCTTTTAGTACCCCAGGTTACAGAAGGGTGGGAAGCTTCAGAGGTTAAGGGATTTAGCTGTAGCAAGGATAGCTCCTTAAAATAGAGGGTGCTTCTGAATTCTTGATCATGGACTTCAGCTACTCTCTTAAAACTTCTGCTTTGTCAGTTATCATAGCTACCTGAGTTTTTGGTTGCTGGAAGGAGGTCCTTAGAGGTTGTGCTTTCCACACCTATTTTACAGACAAGGATACTGAAGACACACAGCAAGCTCTTTATTACAGAGCTGATTAGAGTCCTGGCTCCTAGTTAGTGTTCTCCTGGACTGTGTGTAACTAGTGAGTTGTAAAACCTCCACCAAGGTGGAGATTTTATTTTTTATTTTACTGAGGACCATTATTTTCTCCCTTTCTAGAGGGTATTTACTCTAAGGACAGTATAGGGTAGTTGTAAAAAGTGAATAACAAAGGGTAATTTGCCCTGCATCTGCATATTTACTGGGCCATGTTACTAGTATTCTTAGATGACCTGTATAAAATAGGGTATCTTGGTGGTGGTGTATGATGGAAGGGATACTAGTCTGTTATAGAGTAAGAAAAATTGAGATTGTTGAAGTTTCAAGCAGCCTCCTTCAGTTTGCCCATCCTGGTATCATGAAGGGCTCAGTTGACAGTTGAACCTGAGTCCTGTTTTGGCATTCCTCTCCTGCTCAGTACCCATGTGCTTAGTGTGGTAGGGAATGTGAGGGTTGGAATCTGTACTCAGCTGTTTACAAGGCTTGGTATGTAATGTGCATACAGTTCATCCATTTATTTATTCAGCAAATGTTTAAGTGGCTCTTATGTGTCAGACACTTTTACATGCTGGGGATGTAACACTTAAAACCGATAAAAATCCCTGCCATCTTGGCATTTACATTCAAGCAGAGGGAGACAGACTAAACAAAGAAGTAAAATGGAGCATGAGGTGGGGAGCTGGCTGGAAAGGGGAATAGGGAATCTGGGTGTTGGTAGTTTTAAATAAGGTTGAGTCAGGGGAAGGCTCATTAGAAGGTGATGTTTGAGCAACAACCTGAAGGAGAAGGAGCCATTGTTTCAGGTAGAAGGGATGGATGACAAGGGCCCAGTCTGTGATGTAGAAGCTTATAGGGTGTGTGGGGGGTGGGTTGGGGCATGTGGTGAAGCCCAGTAGGTTAGGGGCAGTCAGGGATGATGAGGTTGGAGAGACTATTGGGTCTAGACTGTAAGGAGGTGGTTGTTTTCAACTGATTGAAATGGGGCCACTAAAGGCCTTTGAGCAGAGTGACATGATCTGACTTAGGTTTTTTGATTGATTTTCTTTTTCCCCCGTAATTGATTTTCCAAACTGACTTTCCAAAAGGTTGTACTAATTTATATTTCCATCAACAAACTATGGAGAGACCTATTTTCTTACATTCTCAGAACACAGAGTATTAGTAAACTTCTTAATAACTTTTAAGTCACTAAATAATAACTTCATATTTATTTAATCTTCAATAACTTTTAATAACTTTAATGTTTAATAGCCTGATAACTTTGTAACTTCACCCATTTGATAGGTGAAAAATAATATTTTATGACTTTAATTTGCATGTTTGATTTTGAAGGGAGTTTACTTTTTTTGTGTGAACTGCCTTTTCATTTTCTTTGCCCATTGTTTTTGTTTCGAGTGTTTTGTCACTTCCTCACTAATTTTCTGGAGGCTTTTTCTATTTTAATGAAATGGCAAGTAGTTTTTCCATTGCGTTTTGACTTGTTTATGATAGTTTAGTGTTTTCCTTTACAGAAGTTTGAAGTTTTTATTAATCTTTATATCTTTAATATTTATCTTTCTTTTATGGCTTCTGTTTAGGTCTTAGGTCATACTTAGAAATGTCTCGCTCATTCTGGGTAAATATATATTTGCCACTTTTTTCCTATTCCTTTTGTAACTTTATATTTTTTAATATTTAACTTTTCTACCTAGAATTTATTTTGGTATAAAGAGTGATACGTAGGTGTCCAGATTTTCTTCTTCCTATTGGCTAGTGGTCATCTCAGCGCTACTTACTTTAACCCTACTGATTGAAATGCTGCTGTGATCTCATTCCAGGTTCTCATTTGGGTCTGGCATCCACTTAAATTGTTTTTTTAAAGGTAACTTCATCACCAGTTTTTTTGTGTGTGTGTGGTTTTTTTTTTTAAGGCAGTGAGAGTTAATAAATATTGATTGGGCATCTATTACTTTCTCTTAATCTCTTTACGAAGATTACTGACCAGAGTTGGGAGTATCAGAGTCATTAAGATTGCCAGGAATGGGCTGAAGGAGGCTTTAAAAGCCCCTTGCAATGAGGTGTGATGAGGTGGGAACAAGAGCAGGAGGACTAGTTTCTAATTGCAGGGAGTTTACAGCTAAGTTGGAGGATAATACACAAAGCCTTCCCTAATCAAAGTAGAAGTGTGTATGCCAGTGGCATGTGAGGATGGTTCAGTACTAACTTACATGGAACAGACCATTCAAAAGTTAATTTGCTAATTGTGTAGTATACAGAAAAATATTAAAAATATACACAGAAAAGGGAGAGAGGTAGTGTGGGGTGGAATATTAGGGAGTGGGAGAAAAGCATCATCTGTTATATTCCTAAAGCATTATTTTTGGGGTGCCTGGGTGGCTCAGTTAGCTAAGCATCCAGTATCCAGTTCTTGATTTCAGCTCAGGTCTTGATCTCAGGATTGTGAATTCAAGCCTTGTGTTGGGGTCCACACTGGGTGTGAAGACTACTTTAAAAAAGAAAGCTAATTTATTATTTATTTACTTATTTATTTATTTATTTATGTTTTTTAAAGTAATCTCTACACCCGCCGTGGGGCTCAAACTCACAACCCCGAGATTGAAAGTCACACGCTCTACCAACTAAGCCACCTAGACACCCCCTAAAGCTAATTAAAATAGGCCTCTTATCTTAGTCTGAGGTTTTAGTACACTAAAATGCTTGTTCATGCTGTCTTTTTTTGTGAAATGTTAAACTCTTGAAACTCAAATATATTTGTGCAATGGTGCCATGCTTTTATTAGTGGATTATTTTAGCCTCTAGATAATTAGCTTTGCTAGCCCTGAAAAAATTTCACTCATAACTGGTTTTGACTTGTAGTATATATATTAATATAAATGTAAACTAAGGTGACTTATGGGCAGGATTGGGACCAGAATCTAGGTCTTGTGCTTTAGCTCAGTGGTCTTAGATTAAAGCTGCTTTGAGTTATATTGTTTCACAGTGGAGACAAAAAAAAAAAAAAAAAAAAGTGGCGTAATCTTTGTACAGTGTACTTGCGTGAGGAGTGTCTCCGGAGTTTGACTTTAATTCCTCAGAGTTTCTTTTATAGGACTGGTTGGACAATGGCCCAGAACAAGCTCTTTAACAAGATCCTCAAAGCCCTGCAGTCTGACCGGCTTGCCCGCTTGGCCAATGAAGGGGTAAGACTCTAGAAGGGCTCTGCCTTGTTCAGCCTTACTGGCTGACTACCTTGACGATCCCCCTACCTACTCCAGTTGTTAATAAGGTGGCCCTTCACGTGTTATCACTTCACTTACATCATCCAGGCTTGCAATGAGCCAGTACTACGCCGTGTTGCTGTGGACAAGTGTGCGAGGAGAGTGCGGCAGGCTCTCGCAAGCGTGAGCTGGGACACCAAGCTGATCCAGTGGCTGCATACCACCCTGGTGGAGACCTTGAGTCTGCCCATGCTGGCTGCCTACCTGGATGCTTTGCAGACACTGAAAGGGAAGGTAAGGCTGTGATTGGCATCTGTCCTGTCCTGGGGTAGCAGTCTCTGCTGTGGGTTCAGGAAGTGGGGTTGGGCAAGGTCACTGCCTGGTCAGCCTGGAGGACATGACTGAAGCTAAATAGGAGACGTGTTATCATTTCACGTTTTGTCTGGTGTAAATGTCTTCAGTCCTGCTGTCTCCAGGATGGAGCGTAGGGCTTGAAAACCAAAATGTACTTTAGCCTCTCTAGTCCTGTCTGCAGCTGGTGGTTTGAGTCACCTCTGAGGTCAGATGAGAAAAGAATTACCACAGAGGAGACAAAGGACTTAACAGGGAGGCGTGTTGACAAGGAGGCAAGAAGCCGACTTAGCTGTTTGGAGTACAGGATTGCAGAGTGGGGAGTTTTCCAGAGCACTGTCCATTCTAGGCTGTGCTCTCAGCAGTGGTTCCTCTATTCTCAGATTCTTCTTAGACTATCAGGTTCTGTCTCAAATTAAAAAAAATTTTTTTTTAATTTTTATTATTGAAGCATAATTAGGATATAGTTTCAGGTGTGCAGCATAGTTTCTTGACAATTCTGTACATTACTCAAGTGTTCCCCACAGTAAGTGTAGTCACCATCTGTCACCATAGAATGTTATTATAGTGTTATTGACTATATTTCCTATGCTGTACTTTTCGTCTCTGTGACTTAATTTATTTTATAATTGGAAGTTGCATCTCTTAATCCCCTTCACCTATTTCGCCTGTCCCCCAACTGTCTTTCCTCTGGCAACCACCAGTTCTCTGTATTTATGAGTCTGTTTTGTAGCTTGTTCATTTGTTTTTTAGATTCCACATATAAGTGGAATCACTTGGTGTTTGTCTTTCTCTGACTTACTTCACTTAGCATAATATCCTCCAGGTCCATCCATGTTGTCACAGATGGCAGAATCTCATTCTTTTTCATGGCTGAGTATATTCCATTATATATATATACCACATCATCTTTATCCATTCATCTGTTGGTGGGTACTTGGTTGCTTGCATACCTTAGTTATTACAAATAATGCTGTAGTGAACATAGGGGTGCTTATTATATCTTTTCAAATTAGTGTTTTTCTTTTTTTTTTTTAATGTTTATTTGTTTTGAGAGAGAGTGTGTGCGAGCAGGGGAGAGGCAGGAGAGTGGGGGAGAGAGAGAGAATCCCAAGGAGGCTCCATGCTCAGTGCCGAGCCCAACATGGGGCTTGATCCCACGACTATGAGATCATGACCTGAACTGAAATCAAGAGTTGGACTCTTAACTGACTGAGCTAACCAGGCACTCCAGTGTTTTCATTTTCTTTGGATAAATACCCAGCAGTGAATTTCTGGTTCATATGGTAATTCTATTTTTAATTTTTTGAGGAACCTCCATATTGTTTTCCCCAGTCGTTGCACCAATTTACATTCCCACCAATAGTGCACACAAGGGTTCCTTTATCACCACATCCTTGCCAACACTTGTTATTTTTTGTCATTTTGATATTAGCCATTCTGACTGGTATAAGGTGGTGAGTCCTTGTGGTTTTAATTTGCATTTCCCTCATGGTTAGTGATGTTGAGCATCTTTTCATGTGTTTATTGGCCATGTGCATGCCTTCTTTGGTAAAGTATTCAGGTCCTCTGCCCATTTTTTAATTGGGTTATTTATTTTTTGGTGTTGAGTTGCATAAGTTCTTTATATATTTTGGACACTAACTCCTTATCAGATCTATCATTTGCAAATATCTTCTCCCATTTAGGAGGTTGCCTTTTCGTTTTGTCGATGATTTCTTTTGCTGTGCAAAACCTTTTTATTTTGGTGTAATCCCAATAGTTTATTTTTGCTTTTGTTTTTCTTGCCTGAGGGAACATATCCATAATTATGTTGTTAAGGTCAGTGTCCAAGAGATTACTCCCTACAGTTTCTCCCTTCCTTCCTTCCTCCCTCCCTCCCTCCCTCCCTCCCTCCCTCCCTTCCTTCCTTCCTTCCTGTAATGTTTGTTTGTTTTTGAGAGAGAGAGAGAGAATAGGGGAGGGGCAAAGAGAGAGGGAGACACAGAATCTGAAGCAGGCTCCAGGCTCTGAGCTGTCAGCACAGAGCCTGATGCTGGGCTCGAACCCACGAACTGTGAGGTCATGACCTGAGCTGAAGTCAGACACTTAACTGACTGAGCCACTCAGGCGCCCCTGTGATTTCTTCTAGGAGTTTTGTGGTTTCAGATCTCACATTTCGATCTTTAATCCATTTTAAATTTATTTTTGTGTATGGTATAAGAAAGTGGTCCAGTTTCATTCTTTTGCATGTAGCTGTCTGGTTTTCTCAACATAATTTGTTGAAGAGACTGTATTTGCCCCATTGTATTCTTGCCTTTGTCATAGAGTAATTGATTATATAAGCATAGGTTTATTTCTGGGTTGTCTATTCTGTTTCATTGATCCATGTGTCTGTTTTTATGCCTCAGTCATACTGTTTTGATTGCCATTGCCTGATAATATAGTTTGAAATCAGGGAGCATGATGTGTCTAGCTTTTGTTCTTTCTCATGATTGCTTTGGATATTTGGTGGGTTTTTTTTTTTTTTTTGTGGTTCCATACAAATTTTAGGGTTGTGCTATTTCTCTGGAAAGTCCTGTTGGAATTTAATAGGTATTGCATTGAATCTGCAGATTGCTTTGGGTATTTTGGATATTTTGGATATTTTAACAACGTTCTTCCAATCTGTGAGCAAAAATATCTGTTTGTGTCTTTTTCAGTTTCTTTCATTAACGTCTTACATTTTTCAGTGCACATGTCTTTCACTTCCCTGGTTAAATTTATTCCTAGGTATTTTATTCTTTTTGATACAGTTGTAAGCAGGATTGTCTTTTAAATTTCTCTTTCTGCTAGTTAGTTATTAGTGTATAGAAATGTGACAGATGTTTGTATATCGATTTTGTATCCTGAAACTTTACTGAATTTGTTTATTAGTTCTTTTTTTTTAATTAAATTAAATTTTTAAAATTTACACCCAAGTTAGCATATAGTGCAACAATGATTTCAGAGGTAGATTCCTTAATGCCCCTTACCCATTTAGCCCATCCTCCCTCCCACAATCCCTCCAGTAACCCTCTGTTTGTTCTCCATATTTAAGAGTCTCTTATGTTTCGTCCCCCTCCCTGTTTTTATATTATTTTTGCTTCCCTTCCCTTGTGTTCATCTGTTCTGTGTCTTAAAGTCCTCATATGAATGAAGTCATATGACATTTGTCTTTCTCTGATTTCCCTTAGCATGATACCCTTTAGTTCCATCCACATAGTGGATGACACTTAACTGACTTGCAAATGGCAAGATTTTATTCTTTTTGATTGCTGAGTAATACTCCACTATATATATGTATATGTGTGTGTGTGTATACACACACACACACACATCTTTATCCATTCGTCTATTGATGGACATTTGGGCTCTTTCCATACTTTGGCTTTGTTGATAGTGCTGCTATAAACATTGGGGTGTCTACGTCCCTTTGAAACAGCATACCTGTATCCCTTGGATAAATATCTAGTAGTGCAATTGCTGGGTCATAGGGTAGTTCTATTTTTAATTTTTTCAGGAGCCTCCAGACTGTTTCCCAGGGTGGCTGCACCAGTTTGCATTCCCACCAGCAGTGCAAAAGAGATCCTCTCACTCCACATCCTTGCCAACATCTGTTGTTGCCTGAGTTGTTAATGTTAGCCATTCTGACAGGTGTGAGGTGGTATCTCGTTGTGGTTTTGATTTGTATTTCCCTGATGATGAGTGATGTTGAATATTTTTTCATGTGTCGGTTGGCCATCTAGATGTCTTCTTTGGAGAAGTCTATTCATGTCTTTTGCCCATTTCTTCACTGGATTGTTTTTTGGGTGTTGAATTTGATAAGTTCTTTATAGATTTTGGATACTAGCTCTTTATCTGAGATGTTGTTTGCAAATATCTTCTCCCGTTCTGTCAGTTGCCTTTTAGTTTTGCTGATTGTTTCCTTCACTGTGCAGAAGCTTTTTATTTTGATGAGGTCCCAATAGTTCATTTTTGCTTTTGTTTCCTTTGCCTCTGGAGATGTGTTGAAGTAAGAAGTAAGAAGGTCAAAGAGGTTTTTGCTTGCTTTCTCCTTGAGGATTCTGATGGCTTCCTGCCTTACTTTTAGGTCTTTCATCCATTTTGAGTTTATTTTTGTGTATGGTTGAGAAAGTGGTCCAGGTTCATTCTTCTGCATGTCGCTGTCCAGTTTTCCCAGAAGCACTTGCTGCTTTATTCCATTGGATATTCTTTCCTGCTTTGTCAAAGATTAGTTGACCATACGTTTGTGTGCCCATTTCTGGGTTCTCTGTTCTGTTCCATTGATTGATCTGAGTGTCTGTTTTTGTGCCATGAATTTGTTTATTAGTTCTAACAGCTTTTTGGTGGAGTCGTTAGGGTTTTCTGTATATAATATGTCATCTACAAATAGTGACAGTTTTACTTCTTCGTTTCTAATTTAGATGCCTTTTATTTTTCTTGTCTAATTGCTCTAGCTAGGACTAATAGTAATACTGCGTTGAATAAAAGTAGTAAGAGTGGGCATTCTTATCTTGTTCCAGATCTTAGAAGAAATCTCTTAGCTTTTCACTATTGGGTATGGTGTTAGCTGTGGATTGACCTTTTATAACCCACATCACCATTGTACTTTTCATTGTCCAGTTTCTCAAAACCTTTTTGTTTTTCTAAAGACTACCTTTAACATTAAAAAATTTTTCCTTTTCCCTAGGTCACTTTGACCTTTTGTGGGTAATGTGAAATTCCCAGAGATATTTCTTCTCAGTGTAAGCATTAGAATGTCTGAAACTTATATTTTTATACATCTGTGAGGTCACATTTCTGGTGAATAGTGAAAAATAGGATAGAGTATAAATCACAATATACACAATACATAAGTTATATTATTTTGAACACAATAACAGATTTCCTTAATATGCCAAAGTTTGAAGGCAGTATTCTAGATGAAAATGCAGATTTAAAAAAAAAAATTTTATAAAATCAATATGTTCATTGAAGAAATTTAGAAAATATAGCAATCTAAAAAGGGAAGATACTAATAAATATCACTATTAATATTTTGTCATATTTTCTAACAGCACTTTTTCTCTATTTTATTTTTAATATTTTAGTAAAGTTGTGTTCCTGTGTTACTACAAATTCTTTTAAATATCTTAAATTAACCCTTAATATCTAGTTATATGGATAATTTGCTTAACCACTCTTATATTTAGGTTGTTTCATCTTTTTGATTATTATTGAGAGAGAATTTATCTTTTGCATTCCCCGCCCCCCCCCCTCCCCACCCCGCGAACCCTATATGTGTGTGTTTGTGGTTTTGATATATTTTGTTGGGAAAGGTTCTCAGAAGTAGAATCCTTTGGGAAAGGGATAGGAATGAATTTAAGTCTCTTGATGCATATCACTGGGGTCCTTTCCAGAGGATTGTATCCATTTACCTTCAGTGATGGGAGACATACTTTTCAACTATCCACTTATTTGTACTTTTGTCCCTGAGTAAAGTTTGAGAGGCTTAGTTGAAGTCTGTCTGTGGCTCATAATGGGGTTCTGTCCTCCCACCCTATTACTGTTGGTGGACAGGTCTCTTGCTTCACACTGGAAGCATCTTTGCTTTTGCTTTTAGATCCCTACTTTGATTGACCGGATGCTTGTGTCATCTAACACGAAGACTGGGGCTGCAGGAGCTGAGGCCTTGTCCCTCCTGTTGAAGAGGCCCTGGGATCCTGCTGTGGGGGTGCTTTCTCATAACAAACCAGTAAGTTAGAGCAGCTCAAAACTTAACTTTGGCCCATGAAGTTTTTAGAATCCAGTCTCAGAATCTTAGCAAGAGGGTAATAAATGACTTGTTTAACTTTTCCCATTAATAACTGGTTGTGTATACTGCTTAGCATAGTTTCATAAGGAAATTAGCATTGGTTGGGATAAGAAAGGTATTGGGATACTTGGGACTTTGTGGAGCAGCACCTCTTCCTCACTGGTTCTCTGTTGGGGTTCTTTCTTCTTAGAGCAAACTCCCTGGCTCTCCTCTCATTCTCATTGCGTCCTCTGGGCCTTCTAGCTCCGTGTTCCCCACCTCACGCCGCCACCGCTTCTGGCAATCTCAGCTATCCTGCTTAGGCAAGGTATGTGTGGGAACAAGCGGAACTGTCTCCTGGGTGGACATAGAGGCTTGGAGGACTAAGCAGACAGAATGCAGGAGGGGATCAAAATGGATGGACTTAAATGTTGAGCATCCCCTCCACTCTCTTTTGGTTTTTAATTTGAATGGTGCTTATCCAAGGTTGAAGAGATTTAGGGTAGGTTAGGCAGAATTGAGAGAAGATTTGAAACTAACTTCTGCTGGTATGGCTGCCACTTTCTTTCCTGTAGGTCATCCCCGTAGCCACCCATCTGCTGAACAATGGTAGTGGAGTAGGAGTTCTGCAGTGTCTTGAGCATATGATTGGGGCAGTGAGAAGCAAAGTGCTGGAGGTGAGAATGCCCTCAGTTCACTGGGGCACACCCAGCGTTCTGGGGTTGTTCTGCACCCAGCTATAGCCTCCTGTCTTACTGTCTGCTTTCTCTTCCCGCAAAGATTCACAGCCATTTCCCCCACAAACCCATTATCTTGATTGGCTGGAATACAGGAGCATTGGTGGCCTGTCACGTAAGTAATTCCCATCTCATTTGGAGGTTGTCCTATGATAGATCCTAGTACTGCTGATTGCTACCACTGAGTTCTTTTTTATGTTCCAGGCACTGTGCTAGATGATCTGCCTACATAAATGCATTTTAAAGTGTAGAAGACGATTTTTTAACTTTATTGTGAAAATTTTAAGCAGAAACTTAAAAGGAGAATAGTCCTATAATAAACCCTGTGAGCCCCTCACCCAGCATTACCAGTGATTAACTTATGATCAGGCTCCTTTCATCTTACTCCTGCCCACTTTCTCTTTCCTCCGATTATTTTGAAGAAAATCCCAAATGTCATTTCATTTATATATATTTCAGCATGTATTTCTGAAAAAAAATATTCTTCCCCCACCCCCAAATGTAAATACTATTCTCTCACCTAAAAAAAAAAAACAAAAAAAACCCACCAAAAAAATGATAATTGTAACAGGCATAAATTTTAATAGCTTTGGAATTTGATGTTGTGTTCATATTCTATGCCTTTCTAAGACATCAGGGAACCTTTTCTTTATTATTTTATGTACATTAGCTTGTGTAAGTGTCCCTGACCTGTCCAAAGCCCCAGTTTTCAAGTGGATCAAATAAGCGAAGTCTGTGCTGCTTCATGTCGTCTGGTTAAGTATGACATCCAGGGCCACCAGAAAAAGAGGGCTATCTCCCTAAACTCCCTGGTCCTGGGAATGGCAGAATTTAGTCAGCGACTGCAAGTGCCTGGGAGCTAACTATTAAATTCAAAAAGGAGAGATTTTCTTCATGTAAGGAAGAAGAGCAATATTTGTGTTCTCCTGATTGCATTTGCTATTAGTGGAGGAAAAAGTGAATAAGACATTAGTATAGAGAATTGGTAGTATTGGAAGCACTGAACTTCCTATCCTGTGGTTCAGCCCTCTACTGGGATCCTCTCAGGGCTTCAGTTCTCCAGGTGGTACAGTGTATCTTGTGCCCTGTGCTCTTACTGCTGCCACTATGGCTGGTACCCGTGAGGATTAGGACTGGTGGGGAGGAGATGGGAATAGCTGGTAGGTCTGGACCACCTCCGGACTCTGGGTGGTAGCTCTGGATGTAGCTACAGTGAAGTTGACCTTGAGACAAACTTTTGTATTATTTCCAGGTGTCAGTGATGGAGTACGTCACTGCAGTTGTCTGCCTTGGGTTTCCTTTACTTACTGTGGATGGTCCCAGAGGGGTAAGCATGGGGTGTAGCTGATTGCTGGGTCATTGGCTAGTAAGGGTAAGGGGGTGCATACCTCGCCCAAACTGGTTAGTGACTGTAGTTGCCAGGCTGACTCCCCTCAGTGGACTTGCCAGGTCAGTGCACAGTGAATATTAATTGGCTGATAGTAAAATTTATACATGTTTTAGGATGTGGATGATCCCCTCTTGGATATGAAGACTCCAGTCCTCTTTGTCATTGGGCAGAATTCCTTGCAGTGTCATCCTGAAGCCATGGAGGATTTCCGGGAGAAGATTCGAGCTGAGAACAGCTTGGTGGTAGTTGGGGGAGCTGACGATAATCTCAGGTGCGTAGGTTCTCCCAGAGCTGTGAGAGAGCCATGTTACAGTGTTGGAGAGATGCCTGTGAAGTGATGATGTAACTATAGACTAAATCTGCTTCCGTGAAAATGGGAACTGTTTTACATGAACTAATTCAGATTTATAAAGAGTTGCAAAAATAGTACAAAAAATTCTTACATACCCTTAACTCAGATTTCCACATGTTGATGTCTTACATACCCAAAGTATAATTATCAAAATGAGAAAATTAACATTGTATGACACTATAATCTGTAGGTGCTGATATTGTCCATTGTTTCACTGGTGTCCTTTTTCTGTGCGGTATCCACTCCAGGATCACATGTTGTTTTTAGTTGCCTTGTTTCCTCAGTCTCCATGAATTTGATACTATTCCTTAGTCTTTCATGACCTTGACATCTTAAAGACTTGTGGCCAGTTTTTTTTAGGCTGCCCCTCAATGTAGGTTTTTAACATTTTTGTGATTAGGTAGAGCATATGCATTTTTGGTAGGAATGCGAGAGGTGATAAGCCCTCAGCACATCTTCTCTGGGGATACATGAAGTTGATGTGTCTTATCATAGATGGTGTTAACCTTGATTGTGTGGTTAAGGTGGCATCTTCCAGGTTTCTCCACTGTAAAGTTACTATATTTCCCTTTGTGATTAGTAGTTACCCTATGGGAAGGAGATACTTTGAGACCTTGTGAAGGCAGTCTTGGTCACTGTGCTTTCACTGGGGTAGGCATTTTTTATATTTTCTTTCCTTACTAAGGATGTATGTGAACTTAGATTTTATTTGTATTAAGCATCATTTTATGTATTTTGGAGTAAAAACAGCCAGAGTTTGGAAGGGGCACCTTTGGTCATTGAGATGGCCACTGGTTCCTTATAAGACTGGCTGCCTGTAGGGACTTTAATTGTGTTTTCATGAAATGTACTGAAAAAGAGATTGTGTCATTTATTGGGCTTCCTTTTTTTAATGCTCAATTTTAGAGATTTAATTTCTTAAAAACTTTCTTTAATGTTTATAATTTTGAGAGAGAGGGACAACATGAGTTGGGGGATGGGCAGAGAGAGAGGGAGACACAGAATACAAAATAGGCTCTAGGCTCTGAGCTGTTAGCATAGAGGCCAGCATAGGGCTCGAAGTCACCACGAGATCATGACCTGAGCCAAAGTCAGATGCTTAACTGACTGAGCTACCCAGGCGCCCCGAGATTAATTTCATTTGTGTTTTTTAGCTAGTAGCTTAAAGCAAGTATCTGCCCCCATCTGTCTTGTCAGTTTCTTACCCAGAGATGTTTTGGAGAAGTCCTGGTCTTTGTCATTTGGCAGCTTCTTTTGGGCCTAGAAGCAAATGCTTTGGTTCTCAAGGTAGTGTTCTCATGTAAATTGATTGTCTTTGTTGGTCATTCAGACGTTCTTATCTGTAGAAAGGTATATTGTGTGTGTTGAGTGGCAGGGAGGGAACATGAGAGGTGGGGATACCTTCATGGAGTTGTGTCGGGAGGCTGCTTATGAGACATATTTGCATGATGCCATGAGCATCAGCCTGAGGATTGGGAGACCTTAATTTAGTTTTGGCTGCTTTGCTAAGAAGCTTGGGTAAACTGCTTAACTTTTGGGACTCAGCGATCCTTATCTGTAAGATGAGGGTGCTACCCTAGGTTAGAGGCCAACAGCCAGTAAATTAGGGTCTCAGAATTTGGAGACTCAGAATGTTGTTCTCTACCCTGTCATTGGGGGCTCTGTTTTTCTCTTTGGTGAGGCCCCCAGTCAGAAGCCAGGGGTTTTCAGGCTAGCTTTCAAAGAGGAGAATGCAGCCATCTGTGGCCATTTTCTCTTACCCCTTTAGAACTAACCTGGGACCACCTTTCCTCTTCTACTAATCTCATTTCAACAGCAACCAGTGATCTCAGGGTTTGGGCCTCCGTTGGGAGACTTCTAGATAAGGTCTTAGAAGTCAGATAGAGTTTATCTGTGAAGCCAAAGGTATAGGACTTCTGGAGTATACAGTCCTAGTCAATTTCCATATGTCATTTGTTTTTTTATATGTGTTATTTTTGTAATCCTCACTATTCCATGAGTGAGGTGTTATGATTCCCCGTTTTGCAGACATGGAAACAGGTTCAGAGAGGTTGTGATAACTGCGTGAGGGCTAACGTAGTCCTCCTTCCTGAGCCTAGAAAATAACCAACACAGAAGAGAAACCCATTCTCGCTTCCATGTGATGCCATTTTCTCCTCTCTGTCTCTGTCTCTTAGAATAAGCAAAACCAAGAAGAAATCAGAGGGACTGACTCAGAGCATGGTGGACAGATGCATTCAGGTACACAGTTGCTTTATGTGTTTTTCTCAGCTAGGCTTGCCTTTCTATAACCTTTAGGCTTGATCTTGTTGGCAGCAGCCTCTTTGGCTCTGAAGGAGTATCCACTGGGGCCTCTGGTAGAACTAAATCATAAACAAAGGAAAGGGGAAATGAGAGTGACAGTCTAAGATGCATACAGAGCATCAGGGGAGAAAGAGTTTATTGGAGGAGTGAGGGAGCACAACCATCCCAGAACACCACCCCACAGAGGCCTTGGGGCATAGGCTCCTGCTGGTCTTTGACTGAGGCTTGGATTTGTGCCTGGCTCTGTGTGCCTGGAGAAGGACTGAAGGCACACCTGACGCCAAAGGCAGGGTTGATTGAATTGAGTTAACCCTGTTGGGGAGGTTCCTATTCCCTAGACTGAAGGACTCAGCAGCCTGGGCCCCTCTTCATACTAGGATGAGATCGTGGACTTTCTGACTGGAGTGCTCACTCGCACTGAAGGGCACATGGGCTCCGAGCCTCGGGATCAGGATGCTGAGAAGAAGAAGAAGCCTCGGGATGCAGCCCGCAGAGATCTGGCCTTTGAGGTCCCTGAGCGGGGCAGTCGGCCTGCCTCACCAGCTGCCAAGCTTCCTGCCTCACCCTCAGGCTCAGAGGTAATGTAGGCAGGGAGGGAGTGCTTTTGCTGGGGAAGGAAGACTGTGGATTTGGTTCCTAGGGATGGTTGTCTACTTTGCCAGTGCTGTAGGCCTTAGAGTTGCTATGAGAAGAATTCCTGACCAGGGAATTCCAGGGGACTTGATAATTAATGGTTAAATCCAAACAGCACTGGCTCAGCTCTTACTCTTCTCACCCTACTCAGGATCTTTCCAGTGTGTCCAGCAGCCCCACTTCCAGTCCCAAGACCAAAGTGACCACAGTGACCTCTGCCCAGAAGTCCAGTCAAATCGGGAGCTCTCAGCTCCTGAAGAGACATGTGCAGCGGACAGAAGCTGTGCTGACCCACAAACAAGCCCAAGGTATTGGCTCCTCCTGGCCCAGTGGCCTCTCAGGTTATCTTCTGCAGTGACATCATATGGCATTTGGAAAGTATTGACATCTGTAACTTCTGGGGCATGTGAGAGGCACCGTTTCCCACATTTCTGTTCAAACAAAATTAGGTTGAAATGAATACTGAGGATTGTTTTCAAGAGTAAGACATCACAAAAGGTCTGTGCATTAGTGGGGTTGTATAGTTCCACTAATTATAGCTTTGCATTGGTGTTCTGGGGAGTTAGGCTTTATGAGCTTACTCCATGTGTATTTGCCTAAAAATTTTTTCTGACTCCCAGTTGGGGAAGCTACTTCTTCTGTTTTAGGCACTGCCCAGCCACTCCTGCAGTCAGGACACTCTTCAGATCATGTGGACAGGGTGATTAGCTTTATTCATCAGATTCCAGGGCAACTCACCTGGCATCATGCCCTTTCTTTGTTTCCACCTTGAAGGTTCAGCCTCCCATATTGAGACTTTCAGTGAAGTTTATCAGTCTCTCTGCAGATAGGTTTTAGAGTAGACTGGGAAATGTTTGTATGGTTGAGATCAGAGTTTGGAGAACAATGAGTGCTACTAAAGCTACAGAAAAGGGAGAGTTTTGCAGGTAGGTGGAAAAGAAACAGTGGCTCTCCCCATGCCCCCATTTTGATCCTGTTGGGCAGCCCTGAGGTAAGGCCCCTTGGTCATTGTGTGTGTATGTATCCAGGAGCATGTATCATCTGAGGTCTCACGTGCCTGGAAAGTGGCAGCACCAGAGCTGGCTGTCCAGTAGAGAGATGTAGAGATGACAGCAGGCTGATCTGCTCACTTCCCCTGTGTTTCTTTTTAGTAGAGCCAAAGGACTTAAACCCAGGCATCTTAAGAAGGTGCCCTTAAGAGTGGTGCTAACAAGGAGCACAAGTGTGTGAGGGGATCTGTGAAGGCAAAAAAAAAAAAAAAAAAAGGAAAAACGGCCAAGCTTCTAGTGTGCACGTAGATGGTCTGTGACCTGGATCTTCTTAAGTGGTGGCCAGAGCCAAGTTCTGGGTGGGTGGTGTTTCCATAGGCTTTTGATGAAGAGAGAACCAGTGGTTGGCTCTGCTTATGGAGGGGATAATTAGTTGAGAATCTAAGGAGTTCTTGAAGGGTGATTGGTGACCTGGGTTCGAAACAGGACCCAGAATATGGTGCAGAGCAGCAGCCCTAGCGCCCTGACTTTGACAGAGCTCAGAGGCAAGAGGGAATGATTATAGCTAACTTTTATGGAGCCCTGACTATGTGCCATGCTGTCTTCTTGGCACTTGACTTGCTATTGCTCGTTGAATCGTGGCAATGGCAAATGAAGCAGGTACATTTATTATTTTCAGTTATAGGTGATTCCATGGAATCACCATGGGAGTTAGGTTTCGAACCCATGCAGTCACTCTGGAAGGGGCCCATGATGACCATTTTCTAGAACATTTTCATATCTTTTTCTTACTCCCTCTCCTTTTCTCTTTTCTCTGGCTGGCTGTGATTCTGTAATTCTTTCTGATTCATTCCAGCACAGTTTGCTGCTTTTCTGAAACAAAATATGCTGGTGAGGAAAGCTCTTCCTCCCGGCACCTCCTCCTGTCTTTTTGGTGAGTATTGCTTTTCCTTTCACCTTTTCACGCTCTGTTCTCTGCTTCTGTCCACTTTTCCCTCAGTTCCTTCCCCATTCTGTTTCTCATTTGTCTCTTGTTTCCTACTTTTCTTTTTCTGCCTTTTTGTCTTCAGTTCTTTTCTTGCTGACTTCTTTTGCTTACTCCATAGTCTGCTTTTTCTCTGTACTTTCTGTTGGCCTCTCATGATTTTTCTTTTTTTTTGTCTCTTGTGGTTCTTGGCTGTGCTTCTCCTATGTGTGCCTGTGGCCCGTTGCCTGTGAACCTGAGTTTCCTTGTGTGTTTTTCTCCCTGTCTCTGGTTTCCTGCTTCCATCCTGGCTGCTACAAGCACATCAGCCACTTATAATAAGCATAAAACCTGTAGCTCTTCTCCCTTTTACTCTCCTTCCTATTCTGATTTTAGTCACTGCATTTGTCCCCTAACTGGTCCTGCCAGCTGGTATTGCCCTGTGGTCCGGCGTAGCTCTCTGTGGCCCAGGCCAGGAGCCCCATCCCTGCCCCCCATCCTCATATACTACTGCTTTCCTCCCCACCCTTCCCCTGATTACCTATGCTAAGAAGAGGGACTGGAGTGGGTTTCTGGTTTTAAAAAGAAGGGGATCTCTGAGGTGCCTGGGTGGCTCAGTTGGTTAAGTGTGTGACTCTTGATCTCAGCTCAGGTCTTGATCTCAGGGTCATGAGTTTAAGCCCTACATTGGGCTCCATGCTGGGTGGGAAGCCTACTCAAAATAAAAATAAATTTAAAAAAAAGAAGGGGATCTCTGAGGATACCTGAAGGATAACTTCAGAGTCCAGGAGGCTTGGCCATGTGCAGGATGAGTCTGTTTGATTCAGTGGAGGGAGAAGCTCATGTGCAAACAGTTGGCCTTTCTCTGTACTGGTGCAAATGACCTGGGGACTAGTTGTGACATGGACACCATTGCCCTGTTACTTTTGGGCAGGAGCTATAAAGTTGTCTTGGCTGAGATGCTCCCTTGCCTAGTAGCCACTCAAAGCCACCCTTAATTCCTGGCAATGATCCTTCTTGTTGCCTTCATTTGGCAAGCAAATCTTCAACCTTGGGTGCTTAGGACAGAGTAGGACTCCGAGAGCCTTGTGAAAGTCTCTTTTTTTGAGAGGACTGGGTAGTGTGCTTCTCTGCTGCTGCTTTGTGGAATGTTTACTGTCCCTCAGCTGTATGATGTGAGGTTGGGCTTGAAAGAGGAAAATTATCACATTGTTTGAGTCCAGGAAGCACTGCTTATATCCACTATAGTGAGTCCTCTCTTTTTTGGTTGGCCTTCGCTAGGCAAGATCAGGGTGTCTTCTCGTTTCCTTTTTGTTTCTACCAACTCAGAGCTCCCTTCCTCCCTCAGAGCCTACTCCAGAACAGGGTAAGGGTTGGGCATGGAACCATTCCCTGAGAGGACAAGATGGTGTCTACCACAGATGGGAGCTGAGTGAGGTGGGACTGAATCATTGGCAATTGCCTTTGAAGTGTGACTTTGTATGTGACACACAGTCATGCCCTTGCTGCTACTGTCTGTCAGTGTCTCTCGGGCTTTTTTGGATTGTGGAAGACCTCACCTCAGCTCCATCTCTTAGTTCCCATTTCATCAGAACAAACGGAGGAGGCAGAGAAAGAGGATCTTAGGGTCCAGCTGAAGCGCCACCATCCTTCCAGTCCTCTTCCTGGCAGCAAGACCTCCAAGCGACCGAAGATTAAGGTGTCCCTTATCTCCCAAGGGGACACAGCTGGAGGGCCTTGTACTCCTTCCCAAGGAGGAGCTCCAGAAGGTGAGTGTCTCTTCGCTTGTCTAAATAAAAACCGAGCTCTCTCAGAGCACGCATCATTGCTGCCTTGGTGGCTACTTGCTGGACATCTCAGCCTGTACTTCAGTGTAAGATGTGCCTGGAGCAGAGAAGACACAAGGTAGCATGGGGGGCAAAAGTGGGCAGTGACCTGATCTGAACTAGAATAATCAGGAAGGCAGAATGAGGATCAGGGGGAGCATCTGGAGCATCATTATATTTTGTTCTCTATCAGTTTCAATTAAAGATAAAATATTCTGGCACCTGGCTGGTTCAGAGGAGCATGCAACTCTTGATCTCAGGGTCCTGAGTTTGAGCCCCACATGGAAGGTATAGAGATCTTAAAATCTTAAAATCTTTAGGAAAAAATATAATAAAATATTACAAAAAGTTTAGAAAATGGAAGAAAAAATACCTCCAGCTCTCCCTATTCTACTGTTCTACTTATTCGTCATTTTTCTTCTTCCAGTCTTTGTTCATAGTATTTTGGATTTAGCCTGGGCTGTGAAACCCTGAAAGGGGCCAAGCAGGACTGACTGACCAGTGGCCTTGGGGTTTTCTGTTTTGCAGTTTCGGGAGGGAAGCCCATCACCATGACGTTGGGGCAGGCTTCAGCAGGGCCCAAGGAGCTCACAGGGCTTCTCACCACTACCAAGTGAGTCTGTTTCTTAGCTTTTCTGGCTCTGAACCTTTCTTTTTACCTTTTCTCTGGTCCATTTAGTGCTTTGGAAAGATGATAGTCTGGGTTCTGTCAGTTTTGGGAATATGACTTTTTTCTCAGTGGGATCTTTGCCCTTTTGGTGGGGGTGGGGGGTGGGGGGCAGTGCCGTGGGGCGGGGAGGGGATCAGTTCAATTCTTTTTTACTGAAAATTTGCAAAGCTTCCCATAGCTCTTGCTTTAAGGTTTGAAATCTTTATTTTAGGCCTGACTTTCAGAAGGATTAGAGACCAGATTCAGAAAGTGGAACAAAGAAAACTATAGGTTCTAGTGTCTAGAAAGCCTTGCTGGGCCCTACGACCCTCCCTGTGTTGCTGGGGTCTGCTGCCCTCCAACCTGTGAATAACGGAGCTCCTGTCTTCGTCTCCAGGTCAAATGCTTCTGAAGGGGGAGTCTCAGCCAGCCCAGCCTCCTCAGTCTCCAGCAGCACTGCACCCAGTGCCTTGCATACACTCCAGAGCCGCCTAGTGGCCACCTCTGCTGGCAGCTCCCTCCCAGGTATCTGGTAGCCCAGCATTTCCCGCCTCCCAGCAAAATCTCCTTTCAGCTGCTGCTGGAGGGTGGTCCTAGGGAAAGCAGCTGAATCTGGAGGATTCTCTTCTGGGTTGCAGGCTTTCATAGAGGCTTGATGTGAATTAGAATTAGCTTTAAAGTGGGAGAGTTCTTGGTCTTAATATCTACAGTGAGTAAAGAGCCCAGTTTGCAGGTAGTGTCTTTTGTACTATAAGGAGGAGAAATAGCTGGTGGGAAATGTATGTATTGTGTTCACTGTGGTGTTCTTAAACACATCTGATTGCAGAAAATTGGAGATTGTGCTGTACTAGCATTAGCAAGATGAGGCACCTTTCTGCCTCTTGCTGGTCTCCTCACTTTCACCACCCCACCCTACATGGGAAGGCTGGTTGCCTGAGTCCAGCAGGGCCAAGGCTGTGCAGGTGTCCTCCTTCAAGAGGACCTCCCTCTTTGCTTTGTGGCCACTGGGCTGTGTGTAGTGAAGTGTAAATCAGGTATTTGGAATTCTTTTGGCTTAAGAAGCTGTCCCCTTCCCTGGAAGGGATGGAATTTAGATTTCTGAAGTGGGATTCCAACTCTCTGGTTTTCCTAAAATTGTCCAAGATGTTGGACAGGTAGTTTAGAGCAGGTTGGGATATGCAGAGCAAATCCAAGGGAGTATGTCTAGAATAGTAGCTTTCCTCATGTGGGCATGCAGTGTGCATGCCTGGGGAGTTCTTCCTGGCATCTTTCTGAGAGCCCTGGAAATGTCCCAGGGAAAGAGCATTGGTATTTTAGTTGGTTGTTGAAGATGGATGGGTGTGGCTGCTCTTGGGATAAGGGCTTGAGCCTATACTGACATCTGTTATATCCTCTCCTAGGGGCTACATCAGCCAGCAGCCTCCTTCAAGGTCTCAGCTTCAGCTTGCAGGATATCAGCAGCAAGACCTCTGGCCTCCCAGCAAATCCTTCCCCAGGGCCAGCCCCACAGGTGCACATCTGCCTTCTGCTGGGTTGGGCAGGTGTGGGGAGGAGGCATTCTCAGTTTAGTTGGTTTTGACAGGGAAACTGGGTCTGGAATCTGGGTCAAGACAGCCTTCTGACTTCACCCTGGGAACTACCAGAGGTTAAGGCTCCATCACTTACTGTGTGATCTTGGGCAAGTTTTTTGATCTCTCTGTGTCTTCGTTTCCTTGTCTGTAAAATTAGGATAATAGTATCTCTCTCAAAGGGTTGTTTTGAGGATTAAGTAAGCTAGTATATGGAAAATGCCTGGAAGAGTACCTTGCATGTAGTAGGTGCTCAATGGATGGTAGCCTTTAATGCTATGGGCCCTCCATACTCGACCATTGCTGTTGGGCAATAGCTTCTGATCACCTGGGCTTGTGTGTCCCACAGGCCACCAGTGTGAAGTTGCCCACCCCCATGCAGAGCCTGGGTGCCATCACCACGGGCACCAGCACCATTGTACGTACCATTCCTGTGGCCACCACACTCTCCTCCTTGGGTGCCACTCCTGGTGGGAAGCCCACAGCCATCCACCAGCTGCTGACCAATGGGGGCCTCGCTAAGTTGGCAAGCAGCCTCCCTGGCCTGGCTCAGATCTCTAACCAAGCATCAGGTGAGTCTCTCATGACAGCCGTGGGGACTCTTAGATATGGGATCTTTCCCCAGGATCTTCCCATCTCACATGGGCAAGCCATGTTGTTGAACCCAACTCACCAGGGTCCTGGCATTGACCCCCAAGGATTCAGCTGTGTGAGGCCAGCCCCCAGAGAGGTCGAAAGAACACAGCTGTTTCCTGTTGCCTTTCAGACTGACTGATAGAGCGTAGATGACCCAGCTGGGGAAACTGAGGTGGGAGGCCGAGGGGGTGGTGTGTGATGTGAAGAAACTCTCCAGGAGAAGAAAATGGAGGCTATGACCAAAGCCAACCTCCCCCCCCCCCATCTCTGTCAGGCTTGAAGGTCCCTACCACCATTACTCTGACACTGCGTGGCCAGCCCAGCCGAATCACTACACTGAGCCCCATGGGCTCAGGAGCAGCCCCGTCAGAGGAGCCCAACTCCCAGGCGCTGCCCTCCAGCTCACAGGTGAGTCTGCCTGGAAAGACTGAGGACGCAGGCTCTGGTATTGGGAAGTTTGGAGCCGACTGACTGGCTTACCAGAGTAGCTGCCAGTGCACTGGACTTGTAGGCAGACCATGGTCAAATCCAGACCTAGGGGTTTCTAGCTTTGTAATATTGAGCAAGTTGTGGACTTCTTTGAGTCTCCTCTTCCATGGCACCCCTGGATTATTTTGGGATTAAACATGGAACTATGTTCAGGTGTGTAGCACTGCTCAGTAAGTAAGTTTTGTTTGCTTTCCCTCTCCATTCCTTTTCTCTTCCCATTCTTGGTTTCATCATTCACAGGTTGTGATAGAGGCGAGTTAGTTGATTAACACCCTTTCTTTCACCAGTTTTCCAACATTGTGCTGTTCCAGCTCTTGGCATTCATTCCATCTTTTTAGGACACACTAGATTTCTATAGCTCTTACCCACAAGTCACCAGCAGTTCCTTGTAGCTGATCGGATTTCTATTGTAACCTTGTCACGTAAAATGTTTCTAATCTTAAGTCATGATCTGAGAGCTACCCAGAGATCAGAGGCAAAAGAAAAAAAATAGCTGGAGTCCAGTGTTGAGTGTGATTTCCTTCAAGTGTGCACTGACCCTTTCAGCTTTGGCCTTCCCTCGTGGGAGCGAGGGTGCTATGCAGGCTGCCATGACAGAAAGCCAGGCCCTGTTCCCGTCATTCCCACTACACCAGCCCTGCCCAGGAAGTGGGGGGCGGGCCCCTATTGGCACTTGACAGCTTCCAGCTGTTCCAGATGATCTTCTGCCTCCTTTTTAGAGGAAAATACTGCACAGAGATTGTTACCTGGCATTCATTGGGATCATAGTTACGGCCCCCCCCCCCCCGCCTTTTTGGCAGAAAAGTGGAGGTGTTTTTATTTCTTTTTTTTTAATTCCTTATTTTTTCAATTACAGAAATGTGCTTATTTTAAATAATTCAAACATTACAGAAATAATTACAGAAGTAATTTAGAAAGTGAAAATTTCCGGGGCGCCTGGGTGGCGCAGTCGGTTAAGCGTCCGACTTCAGCCAGGTCACGATCTCGCGGTCCGTGAGTTTGAGCCCCGCGTCAGGCTCTGGGCTGATGGCTCAGAGCCTGGAGCCTGTTTCCGATTCTGAGTCTCCCTCTCTCTCTGACCCTCTCCTGTTCATGCTCTGTCTCTCTCTGTCCCAAAAATAAATAAACGTTGAAAAAAAAAAAACTTTAAAAAAATAAAAAAATAAAAAAAAAGAAAGTGAAAATTTCCCATGATACCACTCTCAGAGATGATAACCCACTAACAGCTTGGTATGCATTCTCCTAGATTTTTCTTGCTATACAAAGTATATTATCTTATTTTACTTTTTTGACAAAAATGGGATCACAGAATATGGACTATTTTGTAACTGGCCTTTGTTTACAACACATGTTGTGACATGCTTCCCTGTGGGTTACATAGAGACTTATCTACTTCTTGTCAGTTGCTACCTCATGTTTCACTAGGTGGGTGTACGAAAGTGTATTTCACCACCTCCTGTTAGAGAGTTGGGCTGTTTTGTTTTTGATACAGAAAATAATGGTTCAGTGAACATGCTCGCTCCTGAGTTTTGTGTGCCTCTGGGAGCTTTCTACAGTCTAGAGATCAATAGTGGAGAATCGTGCATCTGACACCTGGCTAGCTGCTGGCTAATTGTCTTTCAGAGGTTCTGCTGGTTACAGTTCAAACCACAATGATGAGAATACCTATTTTCCTATGCCTTTATCAGTTATGGAAATCAGTATTTTCAATTTAATTTATTAATTTGATGAGTGAAGTGAAATGGTTTTTTTTTAATTTTTTTCTTTTTCTTTTAGTATTATTTTTTAAAAATTTACATGCAAGTTAGTAAGCATATAGTGCAACAACGATTTCAGGAGCAGATTTCTTAATGCCCCTTACTCATTTAGCCCAACCCCCCTCCCACAACCCCTCCAATAACCCTCTATTTGTTCTCCATATTTAAGAGTCTCTTATGTTTCGTCCCCCTCCCTGTTTTTATATTTTTTGCTTCCCTTCCCTTGTGTTCATCTGTTCTGTGTCTTAAAGTTCTCATATGAGTGAAGTCGTATGATACTTGTCTTTCTCTAATTTCCCTTAGCATGATACCCTCTAGTGCCATCCACATAGTTGCAAATGGCAAGATTTCATTATTTTTGATTGCTGAGTAATACTCCATTGCATATGTGTATGTGTGTATATACATGTATATATGTGTATGTGTATATATGTATACATATATATGTATATACACGTATGTATATGTGTATATATATACATGTATATATGTGTGTACATATATGTATATACACGCACACACATACACACACACCACATCTTTATCCATTCATCTATTGATGGACATTTGGGCTCTTCCCATACTTTGGCTTTGTTGATAGTGCTGCTATAAACATTGGGGTGTCTACGTCCCTTCGAAACAGCATACCTGTATCCCTTGGATAAATACCTAGTAGTGCAATTGCTGGGTTGTAGGGTAGTTCTATTTTTAATTTTTTGAGGAACCTGCATACTGTTTTCCAGAGTGGCTGCACCAGTTTGCATTCCCACCAGCAGTGCAAAAGGGTTCCTCTTTCTCTGCATCCTTGCCAATATCTGTTGTTGCCTGAGTTGTTAATGTTAGCCATTCTGACAGGTGTGAGGTGGTATCTCATTGTGGTTTTGATTTGTATTTCCCTGATGATGAGTGATGTTGAGTATTTTTTCATGTGTCGGTTGGCCATCTGGATGTCTTCTTTGGAGAGGTGTCTTTTCATCTCTTTTGCCTATTTTTGCACTGGATTATTTGTTTTTGGGTGTTGAGTTTGATAAGTTCTTTGTAGATTTTGGATACTAACTCTATCTGAGATGTTGTTTGCAAATATCTTCTCCCATTCTATCAGTTGCCTTTTAGTTTTGCTGATTGTTTCCTTCGCTGTGCAGAAGCTTTTTATTTTGATGAGGTCCCAATAGTTCATTTTTGCTTTTGTTTCCTTTGCCTCTGGAGATGTGTTGAGTAAGAAGTTGCTGCGGCCAAGATCAAAGAGATTTTTGCCTGTTTTCTCCTCAAGGATCTTGATGGCTTCCTGTCTTACATTTAGGTCTTTCATCCATTTGGAATTTATTTTTGTGTATGGTGTAAGAAAGTGGTCCAGGTTCACTCTTCTGCATGTTGCTCTCCAGTTTTCCCAGCACCACTTGCTGAAGAGACTTTGTCCACTGGATATTCTTTCCTGATTTGTCAAGGATTAGTTGGCCATATGTTTGTGTGTCCATTTCTGGGTTCTCTGTTCTGTTCCATTGATCTGAGTGTCTGTTTTTATGCCAGTACCATACTGTCTTGATTACAGCTTTGTAATACAGCTTCAAGTCCTGAAGTGAAATTGTTTAAATGTGTATTTTTCTGATTACTGATGAGGTTGTATGTCTTTTATGAAATACTCATCATGTTCTGTCTCTACTTTGATTTATAGCAGCTTTATACATTCAGATGTTTCCTTTCTTTAAAAATTTTTTTAAAATATTTATTATTGAGAGAGAGAGAGACAGAGCTTGAGCAGGGGAGGGGCAGAGAGAGAGGGAGACATAGAATCCAAAGCAGGCTCCAGGCCCTGAGCTGTAAGACGCAGAGCCCAACACGGGGCTCAAACCCACAAACCCCGAGATCCTGACCTGAGCTGAAGTCGGACACTGGATCCATCTAGTCACTCCAGTCCTTTGTCTGTTATACAAGTTGTATATACTTCAGTCAACTGCTTTTTTTTTTTCTTTCTGTTGAAGTATTAAGTGCTTGTTTTTTGATATTTGTTTTGGGATCTTTTATGATACATTAAAAATTTTTACATAGCGAGGCTACCTGCTTGGCTCAGTGGGTTGAGCGTCTGACTTTAGCTCAGGTCATGATCTCATGGTTTGTGAGTTCAAGCCCCACATCAGTGTTGCTGCTGTCAGCACAGAGCCCACTTCAGAACCTCTGTCTCCCTCTCTCTCTCTCCCTGTGAACCTGCCCCATTGACTCATGCTCTGTCTCTCTCAAAAATAAACATTAAGAAAGGTTTTTTTTTACGTAGCAAAATCTTCAAATCTTTCCCTTTATAGCTCCAAGGTTTTGTGTCTTAAGAAAGCTCTTCCCATTGCAAGAATATAATCTGTGTTTTTTTTATATTTTATTTTTTTAATTGTAAAATACATATGTACAGTTTATCATTTTGCCCTATTTTAGGCTTTAGGCTTGCTGTTCAGTGGCATTAGTATATTTACATTGCTGTGCAACCATCACCACAATTCAGGTCTAGAACTTTCCATTATCCTATACTGAAACTCTGTTTTTGTGTTTTCTTATAATGCATTTGTTTGTTTACCTTTAGTTTTTCAGTCCATTTGGAATTTATTTTTCTATGCTAAGGTAAGGATCTAACTTTATTGAAGAATCCATTATCCTTTCTCTCTATCCATTTGAAACCTGCTGCTCTCACATTCTCGATTACTACATGCACCTGGGCCTTTTTGTACCTGTGACCCATCTGTTCTCACACTAGCTTTATGAAATTGTTTAATAATGCAGGTCTTCCAGTTAATGAAGTGTCCAGAATGTTTATAATTTGCTACTGTTACTCTTTTCCTTTTTCTTGATAAATAATGGGTTTTGAATTTTGTTCATTGCCATTTTGGAATCACATGAGATGAATGAGCATACACATTTCCTCTGAGTTAGTTAAAATGATGAATTACTTTAATAGATTTCCTAATGTCAGATTACCTAAATTCTACATTCAGTAGCTTGTTCAGTACGTCCCATTATTTTTTTGCACATGTCCCAGTTTATTTGTATTGTGCACATGTAGGAAACGAGACCCTATCAAAAGAGAACAAAAAAAATAAAATAAAATAAAATAAAATAAAGAAGCCAAGTGTTTCAGAGGAAAAGCATGTCCATTCTGTTGATTTGCTTTTATTTTACTTAGGATTTTGGCCTCTGTGTTTATTAGTGAGATAGGCCTATAGTTTTCTTCCCATCTATTCCTGCTTTTGTGTGTGTGCTTTCCTTGTCCAGTTGTATGAAGGGGTAAATCTATCCTTATAGAATGAGATGGAAGCATGTTTTTCTCCTATTGTTTTTTTTTTTTTAATTTTTTTTAATGTTTATTTTTGAGAGAGACGGAGCACAAGCAGGGGACGGCAGAGAGAGAGGAGACACAGAATCCAAAGTAGGCTCCAGGCTCTGAGCTGTCTGCATAGAACTGGATGTGGGGCTCAAACCCATGAACCATGAGATAATGACTTGAGCTGAAGTCAGATGCTTAACCAGCTGAGCCACCCAGGCACCCTTCTCCTATTCTAAAAACATTTATATTGCACAGAAATTATGAGTTCCTTGATAGTGTGATGCAAATTATCTATAAAACCATTTGGGTCTATTATCAGGCAGTCTTAACCTTTGTTGATAATCATATTGATGCCCAACTAGAATGCATATCCCCACTATGTGATACCTCTTTCTCTCTTAGTGGTCCTCTTCAGCTTGCTGCAGCCTGGGGGAGCTAGTTAGTGGTAAGAAGAGGCTACATAGAGCTCATTGAGAATCGTTTTCCATGTCTAAATAGAAGCACAAAATAAAGATCAAGATCTGACTTCTACCTGATAGCATTAACTTGAGAGCTTAGTTTTTATCTCAGAAAAATGAGTGTATAATTACTAGGAGGGTTCTAGTGGTTCTCTTCTTACAGAGAAAGGGCACATTATTAGATTAAGACTTGCTGACTTGAAAACTTCTAATGATTACCTCAGTGTTCACACTGCCAGACCATGTGGTATCAGGGAAAACAGTGGGCTGTGGGTCAGGTGCTCTGTCTTTAGCCAGCTGTGTGATCCTGGGCAAATCACCTAACTTCTCTGGGTTTTGGTGTTCTCATGTGGTCTAGTAGGCCTAAATTAGTGATTATTGTGGTAGGATTGATTAATAGGGGCTGTCTCAGAATCTCCTCAGACTGGGAAATTGAATTTTAAAAGGTTGAGAAATCACCCATTTATGATGTTTATGAGACAATTGGAAATTTGAACACTGGGTAATTGTTGATATTAAGGAATTATTAACCCTTTAATATGTGATAATGGTGTTTACATTTGAAAAAAGAATCCTTTTTTAACGTTTATTTATTTATTTATTTATTTATTTTTAACGTTTTATTTATTTTTGAGACAGAGAGAGACAGAGCATGAATGGGGGAGGGGCAGAGAGAGAGGGAGACACAGAATCGGAAGCAGGCTCCAGGCTCTGAGCCATCAGCCCAGAGCCCAACGCGGGGCTCGAACTCACGGACCGCGAGATCTTGACCTGAGCTGAAGTCAGACGCTTAACCGACTGAGCCACCCAGGAGCCCCAACGTTTATTTATTTTTGAGACGGAGATACACAGAGCATGAATGGGGGAGGGTCAGAGAGAGAGGGAGACACAGAATCTGAAACAGGCTGCAGGCTCTGAGCTGTCAGCACAGAGCCTGACGCAGGGCTCAAACTCAAGGACCGTGAGATCATGACCTGAGCCGAAGTCGGACACTTAACCGACTGAGCCACCCAGGTGCCCCAAATATAATCCTTTTTTAATTTTGAGTTACATAATATGATATTTATGGATAGGCTGAAAAAGAAAAAGATTATAAACACTGGCTAGACTTTTCTAAGGTCTTTGCAAACAATTATCTGTTTTATTTCTGGCACCGATGAATATTTATTGTGTTTCTTTTATGGAACTGGACTCTTATGTCCTCTTTTTTTTTTAATTTTTTTAGGTTAGTTGGGGGGAGGGAGGGAGAGGGGGGGGAGAGAGAGAGAGAGAGAGAGAGAGAGAAACGAACCGGGGTGGGGGGGGCAGAAAGGGGGTCAGAAGATCTCAAGCAGGCTCCCGACAGCAGACAGCCCGATGAGGGGCTCAATCTCACGAACCATGAAATAATGACCTGAGCCAAAGTTGGACACTTAACTGTCTGAGCCACCCAAGCACTCATACTTTTATATACTGTTTACAGCTGAAAAGCTGTCAGGGGAAGAGGAGGGACAGAGACTGTGTTGTGCCTTGCCTCAGAGTCCTGAGAATGGACTCCTTGCCTGTGATTACAAGGTCTTTCTCCTCTCTAGCTACATGGTGGTCTGCCCAGCCAGGGGGCATCCCTGCAACTCTCTCAGTAGGCCCTGGGAGAGCAGACCCTCTAATCAGGACAGAGTAATCCTCTGTGCACAGCCCTGCCTTTGGGCAGGGTGAGCAAATGTAGGCAGATTCTTTTAAGTTTTGATTGTCAAACCCTTCTTTGTTTCCTCTCTCCTGTGCCCTCCCATTTTCCCCTTTTTTCTGCATTCTTATAAACCTCTTAAGAATTTTCCAAAAGTGAAATCTAGAAAAGTGAGAAAAACCCTGGTGAAAAAAAGTTAACTGTTTCTACTTTGCTTTTTTCTTCCTAAGCTACAGGGCTCAACAAATTGTGGCATCCTCCATACCAACTGAAAATGGATAAGACCTAAAAAACTGATATTGTCAGAACAGTCATGGAAAACTTCCTTATCTCTATCACCCTTAACAGTTTGCCCTTTCCTTTTCCCTGCATTCTCTTTCTGCCCTTATGCATAACAATAAGAGCAAACCTTTGTAGTTGAACACCTATTATACTCAAGGTGCTTTATGCAGATTGTCTGGTTTAATCTCGTAACATCCCTGGGGAGTAGAGACTGTCCTTGTGTCTTACAGATGAGGAAGAGGAGATTTAGCATTCATCACTTGCCCTACAAAGTAAGGTGGGTCTCTTAACTGCAGAGTCCACATTCTGGTAACCACTTGGCTGCTAGAACACATACTCTTGTACATCCAACTTTTCCCCATTGAGAATGACTTCTTTGAAATAAATTCTCAGGGTCTGGGTGTGTTAACCTGGCAAAGTTTTGACTCTTGATCCCTCCCTCTCCTGCCATAGCGCCTACCTCCAGGACCCTGAAGATGCCGTGTGATATACCTTCCTTCACCAAGCTGGTGATGGCTGCTGCACAGTGAGCCCTGGGTGCACACATGCTGTCCTGCTGAGCTGTCCACTTGTCTGAAGACTTCTTAAGACTGCCATTTTTGCCTCCCTGCCAACTGTCTTCAGAATGGGCCTCTGGGTCTTATGAAACCATTAGGCTAGGTGATACGGCGCCAGCAGAGGGAACATCGTCCTCTGTCATCTATGGGTCTCATTCCCGGAATCCCCAGGTTCCTGAGCAGATTTGGCCATGCATGGATCAGAGGCACTTCTCCAGCATTCGCTGTGACTTGACCCAAGTAGCAGTGTTGGACTGCTCACTGCATTTAATAAAGGAGTTCCTTTTGGAAGTCTGTGCTACCCCCATGCCAAGTTGGGAGGAGACAGCCACATGGTCTGGGGCCATTCAGGAGTTAGGATTGAGAGCCCTTTGCTGAGGACAGGGGTCATCCTGGCCCACCAACACTTGTGCCGTACCAGAGGGCTGGTTTTGGACATCACTGTTACTTTCACTGAACAGCCATGGGTGAGCACATCTCTGTCTTACGAACCACATCAGATACTGAGTTAGCCTGCTGAGACTTGGGAACTCCTAAATTCAAACCCATGATAGATCAAAGAGGACTGGGCTGTCATCTTTCAGTCCCTTTGGCCACTATAGATGGCGGGGGCGGCAGTTGGCCACTAGGTGAAAGCTGGCCCCTTTCTTGTTTTCATCATGCTTTGGGCAGTTCCTGTGTGCAGAAAACCTGCAGGTCCAGAAAGACTGAAAAAGAGGAATGGAACAAATGAAGTGGCTTGAAGGATATGCCAGTAAGTCCTGTGGAGAAAATGATAGGGCCTTGAGGTTTTGCACCTAGTACCTAAGGAACTGTTGATTCGACATGGAGATGAGAAGAAGAATTTGCCAAGTCACAGGGAAGAACCCCCAATCCCTGAAATTTCTATCTCCAGTGCTTGGAAGTGAAATAGGGATAACTGGCTAAGTTAACATCTTGGCCTGGCTTCCCAGGAAGCTTAAGCATCAAGATAATGAAGGCAGTACTCTAGTGTTTCTGTTTCCATTCTATGCCACTTCTTGTCTTCTTGCTTAGTAGTGGGAAGGTTATTGGCATTGACTCTACTGTGTGAGGCTCTTGGTACTAGCCTGAGTCCTGGAGAATGATCACTGAAGACGGAGTTCTGAGCCCCTCCTTATGTCCTCACAATACTTGTATGCCAAGGTAGTTTTAGATTTGGCATCATACCTGTCCTCCAGATCAGGCTCTCGACCTTCTGTACTCTAGAAAATTTCTAGCCAAGGTGTCAATAAATAGAGCAACCCAGATGTGACTCCGACTCTGTTCAGTATCAGTAGGCAGGAGGGGGCACAGCATGCCATTGCCTTGGTCCAGGGTCCTGACCCATAGTGCAGCATATATCCAAACCAGGTCCCCTGTATTTAGTCCAGCAGCCTCACCTGCCAGTCTGACTGGCAGCCAGGAGGGAGTACACAGTGTGTAGGAGTCTGAGACAAAGCAAAATGGAGTGCTGTGGGCAAGGAGGAGGCATGTGTGATAGGCGTGCAGAGAGCCTCTTGAACAACCAGGCCTCCCTCCCTGACCTCCTGCAGAGCTGGTCTCAGCAGTGATTTGCATAATATTAGGCTTCATTCTTGCATTAGTTGGTAGGTAACTGCTTTTGGAAATTTATTTAAGTAAGTTTGAGGAAGATAATGAAATCTGAAAGAGGCATCCATGGGTCAGGGGTTTGGTAACTTTAAAGGCAGGATAACACGCAAGTAGGAACCAAGGGCAGTAAGACTGTGAGACTACCGGAAACTTTTAGGAATCATTTAGGACAGGCAGAGGGTGCTGAACAATCCATTCATGACTTAGAAGTACAGCCTAGACAATGCTGGAGGGGTTGCTCCTGAAAGATGCTCGCCCAGCATCTCGTGTGTGCTGGGACCAAAGGAAAAACTAATGTATTGTCCTGCATCTGTGTAAACCCTCGTATGCTTCCCATGGATGACTTCCTGAGGCTTTGGTTGTACACCTTGAAGAAAGCCAAACCTGGAAAGGGGAGTTGTAAGAACATTTCACCTTGGAGTTACAGACTAAAGGGGGAGGTGGTTGAAGTAAGGGAGTCATGTTCTTCACACTTCTGTACCCACTCTTCTCGAAATGTGAAAAGAAGCTTTCCTCCATCTACCACGTATCAGACCTAGAGTCCTTAACCTCAGAAGGCAATACTACTGGCTGAGAATGTAGACGGATCAAGAAGGCTTTAGTTCAATTCTTGACATTCAACATGACAGGTGCATGTTGATGCCCGATGGAAGATGTCCTTGTGCTTTAAGAAGAGGTCACTGATGGAGATCTTCTACCTGTTCTTGGCCCCACCACTAGAATCATCTTGGGCTGGGTGGGTTATAGAATTGAGGCACTGTCACGGTTCATTCTTATATTAGTAAAAACAAAAATAAAAGCAACTTTGGATTTCTTCAACTTGTTTTCAGTTGACTTCTCATATTTATTCTGATGACCTCTCAGTGAAGTGGCACAGAAAATAAAAGCCAAGATAGTGTGGTAATGCCAGAGATCATCTCATGGATGCCTGGTGCCATGAATACCATACTTTGTACTGTACCATGGGTACCGTAATTGCCTTTTTACATGTGAGGAAATAGGCACAGAGAAGTCACAGCAGGAAGTGGCAGAAGTAGGACTAGAATCCATGCAGTCTGCCACCACTGTTCTCTGCACTGTTCTGGGGTTCTGAGATGGGACGCAGAAATGGACATTAGCCCAGGAGGCGAGATGATGGCTTTGCCTTCCTGTGGCCCTTTCCTGTTAACTTCCCATCAGGCCTGAAGTGATTGCTGCGGCTGTGGTGGGGCTCTTGGCTGGGTCAGAATCAGTAGGTAGGGTCCTGAGAGTGTGAAATCTCTGAACATTCTATCCCTCTATCCCCTCCCATAAGTAAATAAAGACAGGAATGAATGAATGAATGAATTCCAACCTCCAGGTTATTTGTGAACTTGTACCCATGAGGAACTTCCTTCCTGTTCTTGAATTCCAGGTCCCTCCACTTAGCATTGGAACCCTGTATGGGTAGAAGCCATGGTTCTGGTAGTCTACATGAAGTGTCCTAGTGCACGTGGGCCCATCTTGCTACCATCCTGTGTAGAGACAGGGTGCATTCTTTCCCTTCCAACTTTGGTCTCGCTGACTTGGGTGAGTCAAATGAAGTGAGAGATGAAGATTAAATTATTTAAATGATAGCCATCTTAAATTTCAGGAGTATAGGAATGGGGTCATAGCAAATTATAATGCAGAAACATGTTCATTACCTTTTTATGGTCCTTTCTAACGCATGTTTTAGTCAGAATCAGTGGTTGCAAGAAGCAGGAATCATTCACCCCCATGAATTCTAAAACAGCATATTGTTTCAATAGGCACTCTCACAGACAGGGAGCCTGACAGTTATTGCTACTTGCTTTGTAACCTCAACTGACGTGCTCCTGCCAGGGGCTGTTTTTGATCCTGCTGCCACAGGACTTTGCTGATGTGGACCCCTCTGTGGATGGTTGGTCCCTGTCTTTTGGATCACATTCTGAATGTGGTGTGCTTAGTGGCTCAGCCTACCTTCATGCCTGTCCCTAATTCTGTTCCCAGGCCACCTCCTTTCTTGCCTCAATGACTTCATCCTCCCTTGTATGCCAGCTCTTCACAGTACTGTGCCCTGTGCCAGGGATGCCATTCCCATTGCTCCTTTCTTTATCCTCCGGGATTCAGCTCACATGCATTACCTCATTGACACCAGGCAGTTAGCTCTTCTGACTGCTCCTGGCTATGACTTGCTACCTCCAAAACCTTGGATTACACTGGGTTGGGCTGCATTTGATCCACTTGCAGATCAACCGCTCCCAGGCTTGGCCTAGAGGGTCTCAAGGTCAGAGTCATATCATCTTCCTCTAGCTTAGTGTCTGTTTACTGGTGGGAGCCCAGGAAACGCTGGAGGATGAGTGGCTATGAACCATCAGCCCAGCCCTGCCTTCCCTCCCCCTGCACGGAAGTCCCCAGACTCAAGTCATAGATGCCATTTGCTCGTCTCACAGGGGACATTAGGAGAAAGAAGAGAAGGCCCTTCTCCAAATTCACACTGAATAGTGTAGCTCACCCCAGGGGCCAAAATGCCATTTGGAACCCAAATGTGGGAAATAGCATCTTTTTTTTTTTTTTTTAACTTATTTATTATCGAGAGAGAGAGTGAGCATGCACAAGCTGGGGAGAGGCAGACCGAGAGGGAGACACGGAATCCGAAGCAGATTCCAGACTTCAAACTGTCAGCCCAGAGCCCAACGTAGGGCTTGAAACTGCAGACCCACAGACCGTGAGATCATGACCTGAGCCGAAATCAGACACCCAACCGACTGAGCTACCTAGGGGCCCCTAGGAAATGGGATCTTTAATCAGCCTTCTTCCAGCCAACCTTATACCACCATGGTTGCAGCCCTCCCACCTGTAGTTTTCCGCACTTAAACACAGTTTGCCTTCCTCTCTTCCTCTTCCTCCATCCCTTTTCATTCCTTCTCCCCCCTCCCCCACTATGTAATAATTACCTTTTTCACTCAGCACTCAGGCATATCAGTTGTTTCCATCTCCAACCCCTGGAGTTGGATGAGAGCCAAATCAATGTTCCCATTTCACAGATGAAGAATTAATTCAAGGTTAGGACCAGGGAGGCCTTCCAATGTAGGGAGTGTGGAGGCAGCCTGAATCCCTGCTTCTCTCCCATGAGGGACACCAGGAAGGACCTTGTGAAAGGCGGGGTGGCTCAGTCGTCAGAGAGGGAACAGTCCAATGTCAAGATGAGGGGCAAGGAGGATCCTGGGCAGGTTAGGAGTGGGCCCAAACTCTGTGACTGATCTCTACCCTAGGACACCTCAAAGGGGAGAGAGCACTGCATGAAAGCCATAGGAACCATTTGGTTACTCCCTTAAATTGGGAGGTGGGGGCAGGGCAAGTGAGCCCAGTTGCTGAGGGTGGGAGGACATGATAGGGTAGAGAAGGGGCCAGCAAAGAGAAGAGGGAAGAAATGGCACATGGAGCCCCACTTTCCCATAGAGCCACCCATGCCCACGCTGGTACAAACACGGAAAGAGACGGTACCAGAGGGGAAGTGCCTGGCGTTCAGCACACAGTGTGTGTTAGCACCCTAGGGGTGGGGCTCCATGAGAAAGTGCTCAGCCCCCAGCCTCCAGTCTGACTTGGCAATAACAAATCTCAAGCTGAGGTTGGGTTGGGCCGGTCTTGGCCCGTTCTTCCCCATGGCAGAAGATGGAGAGGTGGGGAGTCCCTAGGAGTGACTCTAGGAGGGTGAAAGAGACAGCAGCAAGAAGGGAGGCATGGAGCAGGGGGCCATGGAGGGCAGGGACACATGAGGAGCCACCTTGTAGGGGTCCAAGCAGCACACCCTTGGTTTGAGTTCTCTTCCTCTGTGGGTTTCTGAGAGCAGCTGGTGTTTTCAGAAAAGGAAAGAGGGCTGGAGATACACCAGGGAGATCGGTTCCAGTATCCATCCAACGTATTGTCCCCCAGGCCACCTCCCTCCACCTGACACGTTCTCCATCTCCCACCCCAACATCTGCATGGCTCCTAGATGCCTCCCTCCCGGGACATTAGTGACTCCTAGGCTTTGACCTCCATTTTTGAAGACTTTTAATAGAGGGAAAGCATCCCTGTCTATGATATGAGAGGGTTGCACTTGGATTAAAACTCCAAAGGGAATTGGGGAGAGGGGATTTGGTCCCATTCATCAGAACCTATACCTAAAGTGTAGAAGTTCATGGGTGAGGTGATGAGTGGAGAAGTAGTTCCAGCTTCTTCTGTCCCTGCAGCAGGGAGGTGCATGTGTATTCATTGTTCTGAGGTAGCCAGGGCTGGAGACACACAGGGTTCAGGTGGTGCATATTTGGGACCCTACTGACCTCTAAGTAGCCCTTTGGAAACTTTGAAGGCTATGCCTCCCCCTCCCCCAACCTAGATTAGAAAACTTGTTGCTTTCCCAGGTTACAGTTAGGAGATTAGAGTAGAAAATGCAGATTGGGTCTGCCTAAGTATTTTAGGAATTTGTCCTAAAAGCAGTTACCAAAGAATGACTTCCCCTGTGGACAGAAGGGCCAACCACTGCCCCCTCACCCACCAAAAAACCCTAATTCATGCCAGGTATACGTCTTGTGCCTGGGGGACCCAGGCCAGTGGATGGGTTAGCCCAGGTGGATTCAGAGACTGATTACAGGCTTACTGAGCAGAACAAAGGGATGGAGGTGGGCAAGGTGGCTTTGGTCCTGGGAGAGGGCTATGAGAGTCAGTCCTGGTGACTCTGAGGCCCCTGTCCTCACCTGGGGTCCTGTCCTGGTGGGGTAGCAGCTACCACAGGTTCCAAGGCCAGGGAAGGGTACTTGGGGCTGAGGGAAGCTAGCAGGGGTGGGGCGGGGGGAGCCCAAGCTGAGCTAGGAGCCTGACTTCCAGATGAAGTAACTTCCAAGGTGGAAGATCTCCTTGTTGTTCCAGGGGAGAGCTGGGCTGGGCCCTTAGTGCCTTGGGTGAGACCTCAAGGATCGCAGAAGGGGTGCTGAAGGCCAGAGAGGAGCAGGGGTCTCCCGGGGATCCAGACAGGCTGCCCTTCCTGTAACCCAGAGAAGTTCTGCCTTGAAGGACACCTCAGGGCCCCAGGAGCAATGTGGAAGGATGGTGTCCCAGATGGCTTCCCCACTGTGTCCCCTGAGTTTCCCTTCATCTTGGGCACTCACTTTGAACCCCAGGGCCAGATGGACCCAAAGACATTGGGTTTTCCTTAGAACAGCTGAGGCAAGCTTGCATTTTCAAAAAGAAGTTTATTAGCATTGAAAGGGACAAATGAGATAAGAGAAAATGCAGAGGCCCAATCTCTAAAGCAAGACCTGTGCTCTCATAGTCATCACACTCTGGCCCGTGGACTGGGCAGCTGTGTAGCCCTTTGGGGTGGAGCTGACACAGGCTCTGCCTGTCTCCACCTGCCATAGTGCTCTTTTCCTGTGCTCTGGGGACATCATCCAGGATACACTGCTCTGTAAGGTCAAAACCCTTTTCTTTCCTGTCACCCAACTGGTTCCTGCAGATGTCCAGTTGGGTGAGGCGCCCTGAGCTGGCAATAGTCCGGGGAGTGACCTCATCCCTCCAGGTCAGATCCTGGCTGTCCTTACTTCCATGGCACTGTAAACCCCCTGTCCTGAGACGGGCCTTATGACTCCAGTGAGACCTCCGCCTGCAGCTTCTCTGTAGCCTTTGCCTTCCTAGAGGCCTCCCGGTACCTAGCAGAAGGCTGGTAGGAACTTTCATCGCTGGCTGAGCCCTGCCAGCTCTGGCTGAGGCCCAGCAGGGCCCGGCCCTGGCGGAGGAAGTTGGGGCTTGAGAAGCAGTAGAGCACAGGGTCCAGGACACTGTTGAGGTAGGTGAAGGCC